TTATTATTACTATTATTATTATATGTCATTCATCATGGCAAATAATGTCCTCGGACAAAATTTTCATTTACTTGTTGCTATGCCACTCATACCTTGTCAATCCTTGATGTGAAAAGCAAAATGTGTTCAAAATCCTCGGGTATATTTTGTTAAACAAATTATTGTCTCATTTTATACAATCCTCAAGGGCTCTGTTGTCTCTTTCCGCGTTTTTATTCTGATAGCGATCGTTCATCCGCAGGTTGTTGCCACCCCAGCGGAATAATTATGATAAAGGTAAAAGAAGGACATGAATAATTGCTGATGGTGATAGAACAGTTCATTGTCACACCTCGCGGAGAGTAGCAATAACGATGACTACATGAAATTTGAAACGTGGTCATGTATAAAATTAATGAAGTGCGCTCTCTTCCTTTCTCTTTCTCTCTCTCTCTCTCTACCTCTCTGCCCTGTGCTGCATTAATGAACTATGTTCTTTATTCAAATGAAGACGGGAGCATAGTACAGCACGATCTCGGTTGAGTGAATTCTCCCGTCGTCTTTGCTTCCGTCGTCTTTGAGAAAACGCTCTAATGTGATGTTGTAGGTGTATGAAATGAGGGATTACGGTATATGAACATTTTCATATGAGCAGGGAACTCCCTGGTATGAGGAACAAGCGTAAACATCAGAATACATGTCATAATACAATCAAGGGCGTTTCACTTTATGATTATTAATTTTTGCAAACCTGGAAGGTATTATGAGTTCTTTTGGATATAGGATATCACCTTCTTTTTTACAGAAAAGAGTGAAACTTTTTGTTTTGCATAAATCTGATGCTTAAAAAATAATGGAAACTTTCAGCCCCAAAGATCAAAACCATTATTAAAATAAAGTATACTCCTCTTATATACCATATACATTTTTTTAACTGTGTTTTGTGTGCGCATTTTTGGGGTGGACACAACAAGTTACCCACCAATAATGTATTTCGAGAGAAATTTATATTAGTATAGGTGCTTGCGTATATATTGGTTATTTTGGATGGACATTTCGCATAAGTCCCAATGGGGCGAACTTGTTTATATCAACGGTCATGACGTTATTCACTCCTCCCTTGTGTCTGAGGATGAGGAGTCTTTAACTTTGGAAATAAGCCCTCGATACTTACATAATTTCTATAAATGGGAAATTGTTTACAAAGGAAACTCGCACACGACAAATCCGTCACAAAATACATTTAATGAAAAATAATCTAGATAGGGCAAATTGTTATTATTTTTATATGCATGGGTCAGATTATAAACTAAATAGACGTGACATTGAGGCAATCATTCTACATAATTATTTCCGACAATCTTTGGCAAAAAGTGGTTACTCTGAATACGAATTTAATATCGTATTTCAGGAGAAGATAATTTGAAACTTGTTCTTGACCGTTTAACACGAATAGAATTGCCAATTGGGAGTGAAACACTTGACCAGATTGCTTTCAGGAAATGGGGAATTGAAATTGAGAAGATTAGACACGAAAAAGACAACAATAATAAGATGACCTGGCGGTGTGCCTTGAATTGCAATTCGGACACGATCAGATGCTGCTTGTCCCTCCTTCAGTCGAAGTCGCATATTGATTGGGTTAAAACAGAAGGTACAGATAATCAGAATATCACGAGAACATATTATTTTCTCTCTGGTGATTATGACGGTGATGATCGTGGTAGCTGCTTCGGTTGGCCACTCAATAGTACCAAGAGGTCAGCGTCGAAAGGAACACTGGCACCATGTTGGGAGGGGGGGGGGGATCAGTCGGTCTTACAATGTAGATAATGAGTAGGGGTGTTAGAGAGGGGACTATATGTTTCTTTTTCGTTAACTTTTCATTTATCTTTATTTCTATCTCGATACCCCCCTCCCACACTCTCTCTCCTCCCCCTCTCTTTCTTCCTTCTACCTCGCTCTTTTTTGGAATCCTTTCCTATTTTTTTCATCTCACATTTCCATCGGCGGGGTGGCCGGGGAAAGGGGAATAATTTTAGGGCGTGTTCTTCCTGTTTTGTTGTTTCTCCTGAGAAGGTAACGCAAGGGAAGAAACTTTTTCTATTCAGAAAGACAACTTCAATACCCGTTACGACACAGAGGCCTTTATCGGCAGTATTATTATTTGAAACACGGACGTTTGTATAAGCAGAATTGTGGCGCGCGCAAGGCTTCACTTTAAGGACATGAGCCTTTCGTGGGCGGAGTTTTAAATGAGAAAGTTCTCGAAGACAGCCTGAAATGTTACACCAGTGAATTTCTCTTGAGTGTTTTCGTAGTATTATGTAAACGGAGATGCAGTCCATCTCTTTTATTAACATAGAAGCATTGACAAGTGTGGAAAGCTTTAACGTCCACCAATGTTTTCTGAAATAAAATCCGCCATGGTCGTAAGTAAACAACACTGAAAGGCGATCTTACCACACCCTTCTCTCTCTCTCCCTCTCTTCTCTTTCTCTCTTTCTCCCAACAATGTGATATTTGCCGCAAGTTTATATTTTGGAGGGGGCGGTTATTCAGAGGCATCCCACAACCCCTTCCACAGCACCCTTGAGCCTGCCACGCTTGCATGGCTCATGTTGAGTTCGATGACCATCGTGCCTGCACGGTGTCGATCCAATATTAGGATGGTCTTGATATCCCATCTATGCATGCTTGCATGGTTAACCAAGTATTGTGAAAACCAAACATCTGATTAAACATTCAAGTAATGGCATTTGAGTGAAATCACATTCGAAGTATTAATGCAGATAAAACATCACGCTACCTGACGTACGAATGGTGCAGAATTCAGCCTCATGTACAAGGGGCATATGGATACCAACCCACAATACAAGTGTAGCAAATAGACCATTTTCGTGTTGAAACAAAATCCTATGCATACGTCTTTGTGAAGTTCCTAGATACGAATTATTTCATTAATCTGTTATGAATAATTGTATTTCAATAGTCAGAATGCGAGCTGCATGCATCAGTTGTTACTAGGTAGGATGGCATTATGGCTTGCCCTACCTAGCAACATATAATTTATGCATTTTCCACTACATCACACACGCACACACTGAGAGGAAGTACCAGCAGTCAATCGATGAAAGTGGCGCCATTTTTCTTTTAAAAACAACCAATTGTGGGTAATTGTTCATACAGACTATACTTCTCCAATATGAAGTCAGTATTCACACATCCGATCATTGAGCAGTTTAGGTGAGTTTGGAGGTATGGTTTGAAGTGTTCTATAGATTGCTAATATTTGTTGTTAAAAAGAACGCTAATGGTGTTGGTTTAGGCTGATGTTTATCGCGCTTGCAAGGATCGATATCAACTCTCATTCTGAAAGCCATCGAAACATAATATATTATGATCAATCAACGAAATGAGGTCTTCAGATATGCTTATTTCTATCGTATTTACTAAAACCCTCGTAACTCTAATATAGTTGATATAAAATAAGGAAGGCCTATGTACTTAAGTGTCTGAAAGCTAATTGCCTCGGTTTATGCTAATTTTTACCTAGATTTTAGGGGTCGAGATCGACTCGCATTTTTAAACCATCGGTATCTTTAATTATTCACATCGCTCGTGTATCTGCATCTGCCTCTGTGAGTCTGGTCATGCTACGGTATCTTCTGATCAATAAAACTGGAGGAATCTTGATCTACAATATACAGTGTCTAAAAGCTGATTGCTATGGTTTATGCTAATGTTATTGCACTTATAGAGGTTGGAAGAATTCTTTAACCATTGTAACCATATAATCAATGAAGAAAATAAAAGATCTGCAATTTGAATAATTGTTTAGTTAATGCTAATGTTTGTTACGCCAACGGGGATCACGACAAAGTTGCACTCTTCGACTACTGGAAACATGTTATCGTTTAAAATTAGAAATCAATGTCTACAAGCTATGTCTGAATGATATTTAGTTCGATTTATACATACTAATGTGTATCGTGTTTACAGCGGTCGAGAACAACTTACAAAAAGAATGATCAGTAAAATGTTGGAGACAGATGAAATCGAGATAAAGGAAATGAAATTGGAGAAAAACGTGATGATGGTAATATGAAAAAGAAAGAAAGATGGAGAGAAAACAAAAACAAGAAAAACACTTAGACAAGATAGCAAATTGGGAAATGGAGAGAGTAGAGGACATGGGTAAACAAAAAGAGTGAAAGAGAGAGAGAGAGAGGGGGGGGGGGGCAAATCGCAAAAATTGTGGCATTTTGGCAAACAAATTGGAACTACTTCATGCGTATGCGATGTCAACCGATGTTAACCCTTGTCGAAAATTCTAAAGGACTTTTTAATTGGCATGTTTGTTCGATAACTTTTGCTATCTGTCTGTAAATTTGTTTTGACACCCCTCGTTCGAGGTCATCCTGAGACGCCCGGGTAGGCACATCATGTTTCCTACTGCTCTCGACTTTGTCCCTACACTGCATATTTATTAAGCCGTATTATATACGAGGCATCACCATAATCACATCACTACGCTGCCCGTCGTGACTACAAATCGATGAACATGAAAAATTCATTAGGCAAACCTGTTGTCGATGTCGAGTGCGTAGAATGGATTACTCCATAATTTTGTGTGCGTGTGCGTGTGTTTGGTGAGTGTGCGAGCGTGTGTGTGTGTGTTTTATGGTTGGTGGAGGTGAATAACCATATAGCCCAATACCATTTGTCCAATTTTTTATTTGTCTATTCCCCACGAAATATAATTCTCGTTTCGTTTAATTTTCACTATGTCCATTGTTAGTTCCGCAACTTGAAATATTCTTGAAGTGTGGCCCAATCATGTAGAACCACACAATCATCACGCCTTTGTAACTGACACTGCGCTATATCAAATACCTTTGGGATTGTATCAGAATGAAAACATGGGTTATTCAAAGCTGGCAAAGTGCACAAAGTTAACGTGTGAGACTATACATGCATGATTGGCGTTTATAATGATTGACAAAATATGGTACTTGAATGATTTATGGTGAAACTTTGTCTCCTTTTTCTTCATTACAGAAAGCGGCTACATCGATCAGGATGGTCTGAACAGATTCTTCAAAGACTACTTGGAAATGATCACCGACAAATCCACAAAGGTAAGAAAGAAATGATCTAACTTTTTATATCAGCATGATTAGCGGCGAGATAGGGGAGGTTACGGGGTACGTGACTTCACTCTGTAGAATACCAAGAAGAAAAAAAAAAAAACGAGAAATCGAAAGACACCGAAAACGAGAGAGGAAAGCACTAGAATATATTTCAGGAGCCTCCCCCGCCCTTCCCGGGATCTCCCCCCTCTCTCTCTCTCTCTCTGTCTAATTTATACACGTCATCACCTGTTTAAGCTGAGTAAATATTATACTCTGATTTTTAGGTCAGATACATAGCGAACCCAAAGAGGGGGGGGGGGGGGGTGCTGGCCCAACTTCTTAAAAAAGGAAAAAAATAAGAATCCTGGATCCGCCGCGAACATTAAGATCTAAACAAATTATCCTATTTTTGTCAATGATCGTTCGCTTGATGCAAAATCCTTTTGCCCTAGGCAGCGTTTCACTAAACCTGCATAATAAGTTCAACAATACCCAATTGAAACGCGTGTATTAAAATATACGAGCATTTAAATGGGATGTCGGCGAGTTCGTACTTACGACGGTTTTGTGAAACGGTGCCCTGACGTCGTACAGGGACTCACGATGACATTGTATACATTCATACAGAACGCTAGAAATCAGGTGAAGAGGGAACATGGATATCATATTCCTACCAAGAAGCTGCGTTGGGTCTCTCTTGTTTCCATCGTTTGAATATTGAAACGTAGCTCCTAGCCACGAGTAGGTCACATGGGAGCTTTCTATTCGAACACGATCACTTCACAGTCATCTTTAACCCTTATCGTCTAAATGTTTCCCTATTCCTCACATTGCGCTGTCCATGTAATGGTGTGCACGGTGTTTGACAACGCTGCGAGTTAAATTGGCATTTTCGCGCGCTTCCTTGAGACATCGTTTTTTTTTTATTCTCATGCTTCAGAAACGAGCAATTTAATTGTAAGTCTAAACCTCCTCGGGGAAGATTAAGTTTCTTTTCACATGCGTGTCTCCACGAAGTCGAGACCATGGAATAAGAAAAGAACCCATTCGCTAGCTGAAAGAAAAGCCATACGAATTTGTTATAATTTTCAGCGAGATTATGTATTATTGCCACAGGCGTGTAGAATGAAAATGGAAACATGGTATGATTAATCCTCTTCTTTCAAATTTCTTTCCACTTCCAATTCATATCATTTATAATCCTGCAGTGCCACATTACAAGTAAAATTATTGATGGGGGAGTAAGGAGAGTAGAATTGAGATTCATAATGTCATTATCGAAAAGGGCAATCCAACCTTTGTATTATTAATCTGCATGAGAGCAAAAAGATTAGAGGAACAGAATGGCGAAAGTTTTAAATACATCAGACCGATAATATGAGATTTATGAATGTTTGAAATATGAGATCACTAAAAATGTATGCGAATCTCAAATTGGCAATTTGGTCAGCGGGTTGTGTATGTATTCAACGATTAGTCACTAATCGCTAATCACAAATATCACTAATTTCTGTTTTTTCTCTTTAGTCACTCCTCCTCTGGGGCACTACTCAAATTATTATAGATCCTCTAAAAAGAAATTACCCTTCTCAGTCATACATTTCTAAAAGTATACATGTTAGCAATTTCAGGTGTAGGAAATTTGTCCGGCACTTCGTTACAGTGACATTACGGATTCATTCAACTTGAAATGCCTGTACGTAGAGTGATTACAAACTTTAAAAAATCTGCTTCTCTGAATTGTTCAGCTTCAAAAAAAGAAAGAGAAGTTGTCTATTAGGATTATATTGCACTAGTTTGGCCAGGGGATTAGACCTCCCTGCATGGTCACTGGCAGGTGGTCATTTCAGCAAATCAACTCTCAAAAAAGGGGACCATGGGGGGATCAACGGGTACCGCCTAGGCATTGTTGGCTATATAGAGGGTGCAAGTAGCTACAAGTAGTGCAGTCCCGCTTAATAAACACACAGCTCCCGGTTAACGTCACTTACCACACTGCACAAGGGCAATTCCAAGCTTTTTTTCCCTCTCTCTTTCTCTCTTTCTTCACTTACCTCCGCACTCCCCATCTTTTTCACTATCTTTCTTCTTTCCGCTTCCCCAATCTCTTTCTCAACTCTGTTCATCTCCTTTCGTAATAATGAATGGCATTTATTACAAAAATTGATCTCGCGCATCTAAAGAATGAAGAACTTAACGTTTGCATCATCATCATCATTCATTTATATATTTTACTTCATGTTTGTAGATCACACAGGACTTAATCGATGACGTCAAGTCATGCTACATGGGAGCTTATGACGAAACACAAGATGGACGTTTCCATGTATCCGAGGTGAGCATGAACTAAAAACATGTACAGTCAAACCTGCTTTAGTGACCACCTGTCTATAAAGACCACATGTCTTTAAAGACCATCTTTTGTGTTTCCCTTGGGTGGTCGCTATAGACAGGTTTGACTGTATTTAGAAAATGTTCTACATCTATATTTCATGATAAAACCGTTTGTTTTGAGAAATGTAATTCTATTTTCACCTTCTGTAGACGTCAGTAGATCTTCATCTTCTATTGTCACCCACTCTTGTTACATCTGAAACAGTATAAACACCCTAGGCTTCCCCCTCGTGTATCGGACTATATCAAAAATACATTGTGTAGATATTTTTTTGCTAACGCTCTCAATGATTTATATCACTCGTGTAATTTCCTGTAAGTATGCCTATATTATATATAATGTTTACATCTTACTAAGATTAGCAAATGCTAGTCAATGATCACGCGCCCTTTCCTTGAAGTTTATTCGAATCTATCGTCTAACGTGGCAGTAACTTTGAAATGGTTGGTTGCATAAACCTGTATTTTTCATAACAGTTAGATTCCAATTTGGGAGTGTGTTTACATCTAAGTTAGATCAAAGCATGCATCTGGTCGTGCTTCATGACTGCTATCTGCACATGTCATTTAAATTTGTTTCTAATTTTCTCAAACACTGCCCTTACTTGACGACTATTCCTGGGGATGTTTCACAAAGATCCTAAGTTGGACTTAACAATTATGGGAAGCCGTTAGCATCCTTGAAAATCATTTGTAAAAGTTTTTTTTTTAAGGCATAAAATTTTGATTCAAATCATTCATATTTTCTATTATCAAGGAGATTTCATGTTCCTGAAGTGGAATTTATGAAAAGTCTATAATACTTCAATTTTTGCTTTTGAATATTATTCATCTTAAGGCTACAAATGGCTCTCCATAATTTCTAAGTCCAACTTGGAGTTAAGTTCGACTTATGATCGTTGTGAAACACCCCCAGGACAGCTATCTTGGGTGAAGTCCCCCTAGAACAGCTAACTCTGGTTCATTTACCCCCTGGTTAACGCCCTCCATGCAGGGTAGTTAAAAACGGACAGTTCCCCCATAGTTAGATTTGGAGACACACAAAAACCAAATTTTAATTAACAAATTGTTATTAAAGTTTTTTTCTTCAATCATAATTCTATTTTATGTCCATTTTTATTTCATGTGCATTGTAAACATAGTCATTTGACTATACTACATGTCGAGGGGTCAGTGACACAAAGACGTAACTCCGTTTTGGCCATTTTGAGAAAAATGGTGTATGTGTCGCTGAACACTTGGGCCTTAAAGAGTTAAGTCTATGTCTCACTAGCCATTGACTTCAATGGGGTGTTGGGTGGAGTTAAGTCTTTGTGTCCTCGAAAGCCCACATTTTCCTGAACATATCAAATACTAATTTTTAGCAAAATATGGAGTTACTTCTTTGTGTCACTGAATCCTCGATGTACTTTGTATCTTTTTATTAACCAAATTGGATCGAATTGAATTGAATATTCAGACCCTGGATTAATTAATCACTTTACCTATATAATGATATAAGTACATATTGAATGTCGGACACAACAGAAATATATCCTTGACGAAATGATGTTTGTCTAGATGAGCGGGACAAATAAACTCCCACACTAATTTATAATTGAGCTTAGCATGATAATGCTGATTAAAAAAAAAGTCAGGTTTAATAAGATGGATTCATCATATTAAGTGGTTTTCTTTCTCCGTTTTAATGAAAAAAGGAAATATTCTAAAAGCTTTCCATTTTCCAGATTTCCATAATTCGTTGTATTTTCATGTGCACTTAATTTAATTTCATTTGAGTAGTTATAATATATGCAGATAGCTTAATACAAGTGGTTCGTCGTTTCCAATAGCTCGAATCACTTAAAGCAACTTTACCGCGCTTGCAATCGACGTTAATCTGGATCTGTTATTTTTGTGTATCATACAGCGCAGGTGCAAACATTTTTCTTCGACGAAATGAGCCACAAACATATCAGCAACTACCCATCCTGAGACGATTTGATTTCTTTCTTGATCGAATTCATCAATGACAGTTTAAAGTGCTCCGAAGAGGGATAATATTGATCGCTTCCGTCTGGTGATGGCTATGATGGGGCTATCAACTTTGATACATTTTCCAAAAACTCATTTTTGAAAGGCTAAATATTTTCCAAACCCCAACGATAAGTTGATGACTCACCAAGTCATGAAAGTAGGATCTACTTAGCCAGAGATGTATAATTTTTCTCCCATCACAGAATGAGACATTAGAAAGGATTAATGGCCAGGAACCTTGCGAGTAGAAAAGCATCTCGATTCGGCAATGTCGAAACGTCATTTACTTTAGAGGGGTATTGTGGAGTACGTAATCACTCATGTGTAGTTTGCAAGCTCGTTTTGGCGTTTCGAGATAATCCTAAATGATTCAAAATAAATTCAAAATTCATATGAAATACTGGATCAATAATCAGTGGAGCTGCATAAATGTGTGGTTTATACTTATACCCATCATAATTTCATGAGCGTTTCATTTCGCATTTGCTATAAACTATCCATGATTAATTTGACCCAATTACAATAGGTTGTATGTAATTCTCTGTCTGGCCATGAGAAGCTCCACAATGCGCATCATAATGCAATAATCCATATCCACAAACCCACTGGATCAATGCCCCAATTTTCCTTGCATTATTAATATTATCAGTAAATATCAGTCGTCTTCGAAAAAAAAAAGCAAAGTATTATCTAGCTGAAAGAAATGATCATCAAGTACTAAGCAGAAGACATCCCATCCATTTGTAATATCTCACCCCTCTCTTTCTCTCTCTTTATTTTTTGTCTCACTACCTATACCCCTCTCCTTCCCCCTCTCTAACTCGTTTTATCTCTCTCTTTTTCTTCAATCTCTCTTTCTTTCTCTTTCCCTTCTTTCTCACTCGTTTATCTCTCTCTTTTCTTCAATGTCTCTCTCTCTCTCTATTTCTCTCTCTCTGTCCCCCCCTCTCTCTCTCTCTCCCTCTCTAACTTGATTGAATTATGTGAGCATCATGTTTCACATTGCCAGTGAGTGAGCCCTTCTTTATCCCTGATAATGGGCCCCTTACACCATAGGGTGTTCCCAAGCTGTCAAGTACATTTACGCGACATCCCTGAGAGATGGGATGAATGGTGCTCTGCAAATGGGACGATATTTACATAGCGAAAGGGTTTGACATCTTAAGCAAAACGTGCACTCGAAATGGGAGACGAAGGCTCCAGAATGATTACTATTATTGAATTCGAAATTATTTTGGAGGAAACGTATGGAATTTTTGACGTGCAAGACATCTAGTGAGCTCTTTTTAAAATCATGTGTAGTGGAGAGGAAACAATCATGTGAAGATTGGATAATAAGAATGAAGAAAACATGAGGAAAGTTTGTGGTTTTCTTCAAGAATAAATGTAATTCTACCCACACGTCTTAAAGTGACGACAATAAGTTTACTGTACAATTCATAACTAAAGGAAAACAAATAATAATTTGCCTTTGCCATGTCTCTTTGTCGATGTGTGCAAAGCGTTATGGACGTCAATATCATCCCCTGCAATTTTTCATCCTTTATATGATAGATTAATGATGAAATTTGACATACGTTTTGCCTTTTCATCAACAAGCGTGATCAGCTATCAGACATTCGATGATAAAATATCCAAGGTCTTTGATTATAAAATTGAGTTCTATTCATGACATTGCATTCGCATTATGAAAGAAGCTGTCTGGAAGGCAATTAGCCCAATGATTGATTTCGTAATGCACAATAATGAGTGCAAACTGGAAGGTTTTGGAAACGTCAAATCGATGGGAAAGGGAATCAATATTGCTGAAAGTCTCATGCAGTACACACAGAAATGAGTATATGACACCACACGCACACACACATGCACACACACACACACACAAACACACAAACACACACATGTTAAATGAAACTTTGGTCCAAATTATTTTATCTATTTACAGTGATATTTCGTATATAAGGGCATGGGAAGAGCATTCCTTTCGTGGGAAACCTTTTTCTTTTAAGATGTTCTGCCAAAGTGACATTGTAGAGAATTTGCAGTCTCATTTAAATTAAAAAAAAAAACCAGAATTCGTCGGCTTTCTATCTGCTTGTGTATTCGTCTTTATTCCATGCAAACCAAGCCAAGGTTCCTTTGGCTACACACAGTGAGCCTAAACGATAATGGCAAGGGGGAACATTATTACTATAGTAATGATGATTGGGTGGGCATGACTCGGAGCATGCATGCACATAACGAAAAACAATGGCGACAACGCTAACGACGACGCCAGGTTGTGACAACAATCTTTGCAAAAGGGTGGGAGAGTAGAGAGGGTTTGGTAGCTTTGAGAAGATAATCATGAAACAGACTGGGTTAGGGGGCGGGGGAGAACAAGTGATGATACTGTTAAACAAGAGTAGAAATATGAAATAATTATGCTATAAGATTTTATGAAAAAGGGAACTTGGTGGGAGGAACCACGAGGAAACGGTGACACTGTGATGACACAGTGAAACCATACTGGTGCCCATGCAACACCACGTTGCCAAAGCATACGGTTTTGAATGACACTTTCACACTGGTGATATATAGACACGAGAATTACTATAGGACGATTAAATGAACTTTAACATGGTGGGGGGGGGGGGTGGAGTGGAATGCATTTTTCCACAATAGTTTAAAAAGAACAATCGTGTTAATATACTACGATATTTGTGGGATGGAAAGTTGTTAAAGAAAATGTTGAGTATTTTCACATCTACCTTAGATCATCCTCGTAACAAAAATAATAATTAAAAAAAAAAGTTTTCATTGGCTAGAAATTTTTCTTAAGCGTGAAGAGCAAGAAGTTATAAAGAAAGAGAGAATGTGTGTTGTGTGTGTGTGAGAGAGAGAGAGAGAGAGAGAGGGGGAGAGAGATGGGGGAAAGGGAAGTGG